TATCCGCGCGACTCAGGTGCTCCGTTTCACGAACTCGCAATCTGAGCGAGCGTGTCCGCTTCCTCCCTTTGACGCCAAAGCCAGTCGACGTAATGATAGATAAATCTGACAATGTTTGATATTTTAAGCCGACAAAAATTGCCGATTACCGTAGAATATTTCAGAGGCTGTGACTGACAAGTCGGACCGACTCAGGTTGTCATTGTCGCGGCAATTCATCCTTGCTCTCTTGTTTCGCTGGCTCGCAATCTGAGCGAGCGTGTCCGCTTTCTCTCTTTGACGCAAAGCCAGTCGGCGTAATGATGGATAAACTCGAGAATGTTTGTTATTTTATGCCGATAAAAATTGACGATCATTACGGGATCGTCAAAGACCGAGAGAGGGAGAGAGAGAGAGAGAGAGAACGCGCGGTGTGTCATCGTCGCGCGATAATTTATTCCGTTCTCCTGTAACTATTCCCGTTTGATTTCGCGACGTCTCGATGGGTAGATCATTTATTTGAGACGACAACATTAATTATAGGTATTGTAATTACTCTGTATTATAACATATCGGGTGTAATATCATTTGATTTAATTAATATCGTGCATTTAACATGTACTCACGGACGGGGAATACATGCTTATCATCGTGAAGTAGGTCAGCCATGAATGATATTCTTGTAGGAACGTTTCAAGCGCGCGATCGCGGATATCGTCGATGATCGATCACTTCCCGCAGCAGCCACGGTATTTACGGAGCCTTGCTTACCGCGTGCGCCACATAATTTCGCCGCTCTTGCTATAGATAGAGTGAGAGAGTAAGAGAGAGAGAGAGAGTGAGAGCCATTTGTCGCGGATCTTATCGGGGGGCGGCGGGCGGGCCTCTTCGTTTTAAAGCGACTCGAGCGTAAATGCCCTCGGAACCCCGACCAAACCCCCCTCCGAAACGCGCGTCGGGGCCACTGCTTTAGCCCGGATATTTATTACCCCACGGTGTAGCCTTATCGAGTGGCCCGCCATGCTTGAAATCGTGAGAATTCCAGCTAAACCTCTGCCGCCTCTCTCCACGCTTACACACAGGCACGTGCGCACATATAGTATATGTATACACACACACACGCACGCACACACACACCCGGGGTCTTTCTCCTCCCCTCACACGTATAACACTAGTGGGAACGTATAGGAGCATGTGCCCGGTAACGGGACAGAATGTAATGGAGAACAGGACGGAATGGAACGGGATGGAAGCGACGGGACGGGACAGGGGGCGGGCAAGGGGGGCCTTTGACTGGCGCACGAAGGGGACCAAACTAACAGCCCCTCAGGTTGCTCGGCAAGGGTGCGCGATATTGATTCCCACCTACCATTTCCACTGAGTGTGGAAGCTTGCGACTCTCTGGTCAATGGGCATGATTCCGGCGCGCTCCGAGGAAGTCCCGCTTGCTTTCCACCTTGCGATGCCGCAACGATAATTAATTCAACTTGTTTTCGATACGCGGTGAGGAGATGAGAATTGCGAAGCGCGTGTCCGTTGCGGGCGATCGGCGTGTTGTCTCTCTCTGCTTCGCCAACATCTTTATAACTTTTTTCTTATACATATCGTTTTTCTACATATAAACATCCGATTCTCTTCACTCTCCGCTTTCCCGCTTCCCACTTCGGGCTTTTTTGCGCAACCTTTCAATTCTTATCGGTCACTTATCGGCAACGACCATTAATCTCGCGTATGAATGCAAAAATCGTGCAAGATTAGCGATTATGCGTCGCTTCGAGTGGCGCGGTTAAGCGACGAGCCCGAGCGCACGGGGGAGGCTCGATGTCGATATTCGCGATTATTCGTGCTACGCTGTCTCGCTCGGCGGTTATTCCCGGGCGTGGTGGAGGTGCGCGAACTTTCCGCGGTGATGGTGTTGGTGCGTATCCCCGAGCACGCCGCCGGTACGGCTTCCCGTGTTATATACGTTTACAGCTTTCCGATATCTAACTTCTGCGCCCCTTTTTCCACGTCTCAATGAGCCACGACGCGAGATCCCTCGCATATACCGTCACCCGACC